ATTTGCTTACTTGCCTGAATGAATCCAGACCTGGGACATTTACGCACTAAAGACCCATCTCGGAGCAATCATAACGTGATCGGGGAGCGCTCATTTACCATTGTTAAGATTACCTAACGGAAACCGACAGGGCAACGAGCACTTAACTCATGCGTTAGGGTGTTGAACCTCTAAGCGGGAGGTCGCAGGTTGGAGCCTCAGTGGTTGCACAACCTATGAGTTGGATATTGGTTGGCTGATGACGGCTAATAAGCCGGAATTAGCTATTGCAGTCTCCCTTGTCTTTGTCGGTAATATCTTTCTGTCTATAATATGCTAGCCACTGAGCGGCAGCCGTGCGGTTTGTGAGAAAGCCCAAATGCACAACGGGACAAGTGAATTCCGTAACCGATCGGTGAGTCTCAACCTATCATTTTTATGTACACATATATATGGCAAGTGTGTTATACCGTACTCCCGACATAGTTAATTGCTGAAAACAGGGGAAACAGCGTGTTTTCTTGATGTTTCTGTTGTTGCTGCTGCTTAATGCAATATTGAGGTCTTCGGTTCATCAGGGGCTCTTCTAACGTCCTCCATGCGGTTTCTGGTATATGAACTCCAGAACAAAAGGTAATTGCCGACCATATCACTGTGCAGATATGCGGATACCGGCAGAGACAATAGGGATTGGGATGGCCATCTTTTGGCTTATTGACCGTCGTCAGTTGGATCTATCAATTACCTCTATATATTGAATTATTAATTCTTATTCCGGTATAGTTTGAGATAGGAAAATTTTGCACTGATCTTGGCTGGACGGACAGGGATAGACTGAGTGGACTTCAAGTCTGCGGGTCGAGAATAAGGCAGCGCAGCCATGAGTTGGTTTACAGGCGCTTTGGTCTTAGTATTCCATCTCCTTTCTCGCCTTGCCTGTCTGTCTGTCTCGAAGCAGATGATAGAGCTCTAATACATCCTGGTGAGTGTTGTCAAGGTTTTCCTTCGCGTCTATGTGCATTATTCTCTTCGGCAGAAACTTGAGGACGCATTCATGCCCTCTCGGAAGTATGCATACTTTGCATCTCTGCATTTATTTTTGGCAGGGATATTATCTCGACCACTTGTCCTATAACAGATTTTTTGGAGTTACTCGAGGCAGTTTCCCCCCGTCACTACAAGACTTGTTCCCACAAACTGGACTAAAGCTATATGATTGCGTGATGCCAAGAGGTTGTTTTGGGATTACAGTTAGTCGCCTTTCTCCTTTTCCTCCTCCTCCCCAGTCGGTGTACAATAGATCAGATTATTGGACCGCAGCTCCACTTGTCATCCTCTGCCATCCTGATTATCGCCTCTATCACAATCCCCCATTTTTTATATTGGGTGGTTCACAACATACGGCTTCCATGCCTTCTTCTCTTACCTGAACTTTTATGTTATCTCATTATCTTCTAGTCGGCGGACTCTCCTACGAAATTCGTGTCGCTGCGTTCGATCAGTTTCAGACGGGACAGGAGGTGCTTGGACGAGCGGAACTTCCAGATGACGGTGAGTGTTTGCTTTTCCCTGGGCACTTAGCCTGTTACAGCGTCCTCCTCTTCTGCTCAGGTTTGGATAGTGTATGCATGAGCTTAGTAAAATGCCTTTTACGCTCCAGTCTCTCCGGCCT